AGAGACAGGAACAGATATAGGGCAGATAACGAGGGGCAGACAGGTGAGCACAATGAGGTGATTAACTAATAACGAGAACAGGAACAACCAAATAAGGACACAGAGGGAGAGACCACAATCAACAGTCCACAGGGGTGTGACACATATAACTTTATTTTGTTCTAAATGTTGTGTTATGTTTCAATTAGTGTTCTCTACTGTTACGTTTCTTCCATTTCAGTGAGAATGTGTTGGTGTGTAACTCTATATAACCTTCTCAGTTTGCTCAACAAACTGATACACAAGTTAGACAAAGTTCTACATCCCAATTACTGTATGTAAAGTTAATAATCAGCTTAACTTAAAACGCTTATTAAACTTAGATCCACAAGCATTTTAAAAACATTTTAAGTTAATAAAACTTATGTTTTTGACTTTTCTGATTTTTACAGTATATTATGGCAGTACCACTGTAAAATAAAAGTAAAATATAGCACAGCCACAGTATGTCACCAATGCCATGACACTTTTTGATACTTTCTATTAGTTGGGGTATTGTGAATAATTTTAAATGTTTATCATTGTAGCATTATAAAATCTTCCACCCTCTTTTGATATTTGTCTTATTTCTGTAATATCTGTATTTGTTAGTAACAGCTCTGTTACCTCAGACAGGCACAGGCCTGTAAATCAGTCCATAAAATCTGCTGCATGCATTTATTAATAACAAATTACTGTTAATGGTAAATGTATGAGATATCAGGTTCATTATGTGACTTTAAGAATTATAAAAGACTACAATTGCTAACAAGTTAAGAATGGCGTCAACATAGCGATAAAAAAGGTTCCATGAACCCGTGAGAAACACGGGCGAGGTTCACTTCCAACACGGGATACATTGAGCTTTGGTGCTACAAGAAGTTAGTCATTTTCCAGGCTCCTTTTGTAAAATATACTAATTTATAGTATTTACTGAAGTAATGTTCTGAAGTTAGCACACATTCTGTAATACAGTTATACAGATACAGACATAATTGCGCACTTCGCGCTAGTCTGTAAATTGTGTTATACTCTACATCCGTATTATTGACATTGTAAAGGTGTTTTACCTCTTCCAAAGCGCCGACTGTATTCCTACAGTGAGCCATGCGCGTACAGAACACTGATGTTGTTGGTGCTTTATAGTCCTCATTGGTAATGTCCATAAACTCCGGCACTGTCAGTTGATCAGGCATGGTTATTCCCTTTAAATCAAGACTAAAACCAAGACGAGAAACATAAAATGTGTTAAATGTTGTACTTTTAAAAAAAGTCCGCACAAAACCCGTTTCAAACTCAGTTCGTGTCAGTCATTCCTTAAAATACTTAGTTTAAAAAGTTCCGTATGGAGTCCAAACAGATCAAAAAGAAAAAGAGGCAATGCGAAGTTAATTCGTCTTTGAACAGGAGAGTTGAACAGCTCCATCACACGCGCAACTGACCAGATCAACACTTCTGGATTCCACCCATTCGTACCTGTACAGTAGAAGTTCACTGCACATGTGATTTGTAGGCGGAATCATATCGCCCGTCAATCATATCCAGTCCGCCAACGAGAGAGGAGTCCTGATCTGGCTGTCCAATCAGAGTTTAGGGACGTAACCTAACGCTGAAAACCTGAAAAGCTGAAATAATGTTAAAAAAACAATACGCTTTTAACTTAGCACACATTTTCCACACAGTATTTTCACATGGTGTTGACTTTAGTACAGTGGCAATATAGTTCATTATTTGGCAACAACATTCGTCTTGATTCATTCGTAAGTTTTTTTATCTATTAATATATTTGTATAGATGTATTTATTTATTGCTGTCCTAACTAAGCTTGTGTACTTTGCCTCAAAGCTTTTCAATATAATTTGATAACCTATTTAACTCTCAGCTTTAGGGAACTTTTTTCATTTTCTTTACGTTCACGTCGAACTTTTATTTTGACTCAGGACCACATCTCAACCTACGGTAGATATGACATTGTTAAGTGAGGAAAATAAGGATAAATTCAAATCAAATGTTCAAATAGCACATAAGTACATTCATGAAAATTATTATGGTTATGTTCAAATATATTCTGATGCATCGAAAAATATGGAAGACAAAGTAGGTGTGGCATTTAGTATCCCAGAATTTAATGTCAAAGTCAGTAAAAGAATCTCAGATAATTTGTCAATTTACACTGGTGAAATGATTGCAATTTTACTGGCATTGCAATGGGTGGAGGAAAATAAGCCAATGCGGACACTCATATGTTCTGAATCAAGTTCATCTTTAATTATAATTAAAACATGTCATTCAGAGAGCAGAGCAGATATAATGATTGAGATTCTTCAAACAATATATAGGATCCAGATGATGGGAATTTATGTAGCTTTCTGTTGGGTACCAGGCAGCGCATGTGGGAGTAAACGGTAATGAGTTAGCAGACGAATATGCAAAGGAAGCAACAAAGAAAGTAGACATAGACATGCAGATAACGTATGGTAAGAGTGAAATGAAGTGTTTAATCAAGCAACATGTGAAGAATAGATGGCAGAAATATTGGGAAGAAGAAAGAACAGGGAGATGGTTTATAGCATTCAAAGAATTGTTGGTAAGCACAGAGTAACAGGAAGAAATAGACTTGTATGCCATCCGCCATTAAACACCAATAAGAAGAAGAAGAAGAAGATTCAGGACCACAGCGGAAGTACTTGTCTCGTGTCCATGGTGTGTGGTTCTCAGTGCTCATGATCGTTGTCGATTATTATTAGAAGTATCGATGGATATTGAATAAGTAATTCTTAGTTAAGTGTAAAATACACCACAAGCATGGCTACAAAACGTAAAGCGGATGTACCAGTGCCTGCAGAAGAGAGTGATCAACTCCTCATAAGGCCACTGTGAGTTCAGTTCATTCATACTGTGTTCAATACTAGTTCTATAACGCACCAAATGTTTTGTTGACTTACTGTTTAACTTGCAGTTTTCAAATAATAAATACAATATCTAACAGGACCAAAATGTTATTAAAGAACTTTGCACCCGTGTTAATACTTTCTCGGAGTACTGTAACTAGTATATCTTCTTGACTGTGATGTTTCTAACAGAGGAGCTGGTCAAGAGGTGGGCAGGTCCTGTATCATCCTGGAGTTCAAGGGCCGTAAAATCATGGTAAGCAATATTTTCTGCTCTATCCTACTTTTGATGCTTTTGACAGATGTATTTTTGACATGTAATGTCTTTGCAGCTGGACTGTGGCATCCACCCTGGATTGGAGGGCATGGATGCATTGCCTTACATTGATTTGATAGACCCAGCTGAGATCGACCTGCTCCTCATCAGCCAGTGAGTCCCTTTCTCTAAATGAAAGATATCATTGATATTTAACTATCTGCTGACCTCCTCTTTTTCTCTGCCAGTTTTCATTTGGATCACTGTGGAGCCTTGCCATGGTTTTTACAAAAGACAAGTTTCAAAGGGAGGACTTTTATGACCCATGCCACCAAAGCCATTTACCGCTGGTTGCTTTCAGACTATGTGAAAGTCAGGTACTCCAAAGAGCTTGTTTCGATAAAACAGCACTTTCAATTTTTTCTTTTTTATAAAGAACCAGCTCTAATATATTGTATGATTTCCTTGATTCTGCAGCAACATCTCAGCGGATGATATGCTGTACACCGAGACTGATCTAGAAGAAAGCATGGACAAGATTGAGACCATCAACTTCCATGAAGTGAAAGAGGTGGCCGGCATCAAGTTCTGGTGCTACCACGCAGGTCATGTTTTGGGAGCAGCCATGTTCATGATTGAGATTGCAGGAGTGAAGGTAGGTGTAGTTATTTCCTTCAGATCTTTTCAGTAACACTCACACTCAGTTTGTGCTAATGATCATGGTCATTCTCTTCAGCTACTGTACACAGGAGATTTCTCACGTCAAGAAGACCGACATCTCATGGCAGCTGAGATTCCCAGCGTCAAACCAGACATTCTTATCACAGTATGTACTAGATTTTATGCTGGTGACATGATTTCTTTTTTTACTTGTTATTTACATTTGATTTACAAAAGAAATACATTACAACCTGTTTTATGCCCGTCTACTTTTCTGTTCATGTAGGAGTCTACATATGGCACACACATCCATGAGAAGAGAGAGGAGAGAGAGGCTCGTTTCTGTAACACGGTTCATGACATAGTGAACCGTGAGGGCCGCTGTCTCATCCCCGTGTTTGCTTTGGGTCGAGCCCAGGAGCTGCTGCTCATTCTAGGTAAAGTCCAGCAGTTCACACTCTTCAGCTTCATCTTCAACAATGACTCACTGAAGTTCTGCATGTCCTCTGTTTCAGATGAATACTGGCAGAATCACCCTGAACTCCATGACATTCCCATCTACTATGCCTCATCCCTGGCAAAGAAGTGCATGGCGGTGTACCAGACCTACGTGAACGCCATGAACGACAAGATCCGCAAGGCCATCAACGTTAACAACCCGTTTGTCTTCAAGCATATCAGCAATCTTAAGGTTGGCACCTTTACAATCTATGAATAGACCAGACAGAACTTAGATTTTAGTTTGGTTTAGTAATTTTGTTAGTTGCTAGTTTTTGTTTTTAAAAATATTTCTATCTATTTTGATTTCTTTTTGATTTCAATTTTTTTACTTATTTCAGTTAGTTGCCAAGAAAGAAGTATTTATCTAATATTTATATTTTCTTTTGATTTTGAGTCTTTCATTTTTATGTTTTCTGTGTTCATTTTAGTCTTAGTAATTTTGTTATAAATATTTTTTTTATTTATTGTTTCTATATATTTTACTTTATTTTTATGTCAGGTGTTTTCTCTCTTTTTTTTTCACTTTTTGTAGTAATTTTGTAGTACTTCAACATATTTATTTGCTTTAGTTGCCAAGGAAAATTTTTTAAATATAATATTTATATATTTTTTATTTCAGCTTTAATTCAATTACCAACAAATAATTGTAATAGTTTTAGTTAACAATAACAACACTGGTTCAGTAGGAAATACAAGTTTCATAATCCAAAATTGTATCTAATTTGTATAAACTTGTGTCTTGTCCTCCAGAGTATGGACCATTTTGATGACATTGGCCCTAGTGTGGTGATGGCATCTCCAGGTATGATGCAGAGCGGTCTTTCCAGAGAGCTTTTTGAGAGCTGGTGCACCGACAAGAGGAACGGTGTCATCATAGCAGGTTATTGTGTGGAAGGAACGCTCGCCAAGGTGAAGCTCCTCAAACGTCAGCAACAAGATCACCACAGATCAGCATCAGGTTTCTTATGAATGCTGAATTAAACCTGTCCTCCCCACCCTGTTTTCTGTGCAGCATATCATGTCTGAGCCAGAGGAGATCACCACCATGTCCGGACAGAAGCTTCCGCTGAAGATGTCTGTGGACTATATCTCCTTCTCTGCTCATACAGACTACCAGCAGACCAGCGAGTTCATCCGAGCTCTGAAACCTCCTCATGTGGTAAGTGATAATGTCATAAGGCAGCAGGCCATCAGGTTCTAGATCAGGTGTCATGTTATTGCTGTGGTTTTCAGATCCTGGTTCATGGAGAGCAGAATGAGATGGCTCGACTGAAAGCTGCTCTGATAAGAGAGTATGAGGACAATGATGAGGTTCACATCGAGGTGCACAACCCTCGTAATACTGAGGCCGTCACGCTGAACTTCAGAGGAGAGAAACTGGCTAAGGTGAGACCGCAGCTGTCATTCCTCCACGTCTCTTTAGCTTTCCCTTGTTTTCTCTGTCATACCCACAGTTAGATGCTGCTGCTGTAGTAGTTTGTCAAAATAATAATCACAAACTTCAGTTCTTCTGCCAAATTAAATGATTGATTAGGTTCATCCAGACTACGACTACACTTTTTCTTCATTCAACTTAATAAATCCTTCATGAGATCTTAAACTAGCAAAAAATTTGTTTGAATTGAACTCACTAGTGTTTGAATCAGAACAACCAAACTACTTGTCTTTCTTTCTTTCCTTCCTTTCTTCCTTCCTTCCTCCCTTCCTTTCTTTCTTTTTTCTTCATTCCTTCCTTTCATTCCTTCCTTCCTTTCTTTCTTTCTTTCTTCATTCCTTTCTTTCTTTCTTTCTTCCTTTCTTTTTCTTTCTTTCTTCATTCCTTTCTATTTCTTTTTCTTTTATTTCTTTCTTCCTTTCTCTTTTTCTTTCTTTCTTTCTTTCTTCATTCCTTCCTTTCTTTTTCTTCCTTTCTTCCTTCCTTCCTTTCTTTCTTTCTTTTGCTCTGGTAATTTTGAATAAATCAGTCACGAATGTACTTGTTTAACTCAGTGAATCATGACATCAGTCTAGTTACTAATATTAATTCATAATAATAATGAATAATGTTGATATTATCAACTGACGTAAACTTTTGCAGTATAAATTGTTATAATGAGAGGCTGTTGCAATAAAAACATTCAAATAAGCTAGAAAAAATCACATTACAAACACTGCATAGTTAAGTACTTTTATGAATCTTTAATTTCTGTGATGAATCCTTTTTGTCCTTTTTCTAATTTCTTTCCTTTTCTTTGACCTGTTAAGGTGATGGGCTCTCTTGCGGATAAGAAGTGTGTGCAGGCTCAGCGGGTCTCGGGCATCCTGGTGAAAAAGAACTTCAGTTATCACATCCTCGCCCCCTCTGACCTCTCCAGTGAGTTGGTGTTTGTTTGTGATCACTTCAGGTGTTTCATATGTGTTTGAGTGTGCGCTTCTCACACCTGCTCTTTTTTTTCTTAATGATGCAGATTACACTGATCTGGCCATGAGCACAGTGAAACAGACTCAAGCCATTCCCTTCACCGGCCCTTTTCCCTTGCTTTTGAGTCAGCTACGGCACCTGACAGGTGTGTGTGTGTGTGTGTGTGTATTATGTGTTTATATGTGGTGCTCATTGTGTGTGTGTGTGTGTGTTATAGGTGATGTGGAGGAGATTGAGATCTCAGAGAAGAGCACGCTGAAAGTCTTTAACAGCATCACAGTGGTTCATGATCAAAACATGGTCTTGTTGGAGGTGAGGCGGCATTCTGGTCATTCACATACCAGTGTAACTATGGCATCTGAAGTGACTCGGGTTTGATTGTGTGTTCTTCCTCCAGTGGTTTGCCAATCCTCTGAATGACATGTACGCTGATGCCGTCACCACAGTGGTGCTGGAGGTGCAGTCCAACCCTAAAGCTCAGAAAGGTGAAGGCTTTCATCAGTTACAATGAGTTGTATTGAAAGAGTTTATGAAATCGTTTTTATCTTGCTTCCTTCCTTTTTACCTTATGCTTCCTTTTTGCAGTCTTTCTTCCTTTCTTTTTTATTTTCTTTCTCCCTTTGTTGTTCTTTTCCATTCTTTTTCTTGCTTTCGTTTTTGCTGGCTTCCTTTAGTTTTTTCCTTCCCTTTTTCTCCCTTTCCTTTTTTTTTAGGACTGCTTTATCTTGCATCCTTCATTTCTTCTGTTGTTGTTGTTCTTTCTTTTTCTCTTTCCTCTCTCTGTTTCTGGCTTCCTTTACCTTTTCCATCTTTTTGTCCTCCTACATTTCCCTTTTTTTTTATCTTTATTTCTTGTCCCCTTTATTCCTTCCATCCTTCCTTCTGCACATTCTTCCTTTTTTATTACTGTCTTTATCTTGCTTCTTACCTTTGTTCCTTCTGTTCTTTTCTGTCCTTTCTTTTCTTCTCTTTCTCACTTTGTTTTTCATCCTTCTTTCCTTGCTGTTTCTGTGTGCTCTTCCTTCCCTCTCTCCTTCATTCCTTTTTCTCTGTTTCTTTCAATTTTCTAATTTTTAATTAGAAATAGAAATTATAAATATTTATTAGAGCCCGACCGATATGGGTTTTTTGGGACCGATACCGATATTAGGGAGTAAAAAAAGGCCGATACCGATATATCGGCCTAGATCGGTCGGCGCCGGACCGTGAATTTAACCAGCCGTAACTCCCGAACCCCGGGGGCTATCCACGCGGGGGTGGTCTCATTCGAAAGAGGGCCTCGAGACGTACACTCGATTCGCGTTCGAGAGGGTTCCTTGAGCTGAAGTGATCCCCCGAATTTGGTGCTGATTTGCCGCACCGTTACGGAGATATGGCCGTTCAAAGTTTCAATGGTTTTCCATACACTTAAGCTTTAAAGCGTTTCATCCAGGTCGCCAGTAGCAAACAATGGAGCGCGCTCTGCTGGACAAACTAAGTAATTACACCATTTCAAGCATTTTATCTGCATTATATGTTATGTAAAAAAAAAATTTCATATCGGCGGCATATTCGCCAATACCGATATATCGGCGACAGGCTCATATCGGCCGATAATATCGGCAAAACGATATATCGATATATTTATACACTTTTTTTTCATTCTTCATCTTTTTTTCTCTTTTACATTCTCATGTGATTTCTTTTATCATCCTTTATTTCCCACTTTATCTTCATTTCTTCCTTTTTTGCTTGCTTATTTCCTTCCTTTCTATATATTACTCTTTATTACTTGCTCTTTTTCTTTCCTTTCTTCTCCTGTTCTCACTTTATTTTGCTTGCTTCCTTTCTTTTCCTCACTTTCTTCTAGTGAATCAGAATGAGCTTTATTGCCAGGTATGTTTACACATACGAGGAATTTGTATGTGTAATGGTCGACCGATTTCTATCCAAATGGTCGACCGATATGGGATTTTTTTGACAGCCGATGCGATATCTTGGAAAGCAGGATGGCCGATATAAAGCCGATATCATTTTATTTATTTTAATTTATATTTAAGAAATTTGAAATTTGAAGAAAATGGATTTAAAATAATTGTGTAAAATAAACATACTTATACTTTAAAAGACAAAGCATTTTTGACATAAATAAATTTGATAAATATCTAATTAAAAAGGAAGTAAATACTGTAACCAACAGGGCACCCAGTATTCTGGGAAGTTTGTGTGCATTGGGAATCATTTATATATATATATATATATATATATATATAATTTTTATTTATTTTTTTCATTCAAATAAAGCCAAGGTAACACTCGTTTTACATGAAAATGGATTTAAAATAATTGTGTAAAATAAACATACTTATACTTTAAAAGACAAAGCATTTTTCACATAAATAAATTTGATAAATATCTAATTAAAAAGGAAGTAAATACTGTAACCAACAGGGCACCCAGTATTCTGGGAAGTTTGTGTGCATTGGGAATCATTTATATATATATATATATATATATATAATTTTTATTTATTTTTTTCATTCAAATAAAGCCAAGGTAACACTCGTTTTACATACAGCATGCAATGAATATGACAGCGGGCAAATGCATAAAGCGCAGAATAATTTGAAATCACGAGTTTAAAGTTTGTCGATCGCGCGTCTCCAGTCAAGCAGAACTCTCCTCCTGTCAGCATTCAATTCACACGGACCGACCATCACGCAGAGAACACGCGATCATGCAGGATACACATGCACACTTCACAAGATCTCACAGCAAGTTTGTCGATCGCGCGTCTCCAGTCAAGCAGAACTCTCCTCCTTTCAGCATTCAATTTGCACAGACCGACCGTCACCCAGAGAACACGTGATCATGCAGGATACAAATGCACACTTCACAAGATCTCAACTAGATTCGACTAAGTCTGCAAGGTTTGTGAAATTAAATGTTCATCATCATTAGTCATTCAAAGATTTGTTTAAATGATATAAATGCGTATTTGCTAAATGCTGACGGCAAATGAGAAACTATTATAATGTTTGCCTTTCTTTTACTAATAATATTAAAGCAATCGTTATAATACTTTTTTTGTATACATTTGAATTCCTTTGTTTAACAGTTCTATATGATTATTAGATAGACTTCTATCCATATTAGACAGAACTGAACGAAGACAGCGAACAAAAGGGAGAATGTGAGCACTGTGCGCTCGGGCGCTGCCGCTCTCCGCGCCGTCAAAATAAAAGTCCTGCCTCGAACACATCGGCCAAACAGAAAAACGTATTTATTATATTTGTAATATTTTTATAACTATATTTGAAAAATGCCAAATATCGGCCGATATATCGGCCTTGGCAATATATCGGTCGACCACTACTTTCTTCCCCCCTTCTATCCTTCCTTGTTTCTTATTCTTTCTCTTTTTTTTTTTCTCGTGATGTGAAAATTGTTAATAACTAGTCATATTTACACCAACATTTTTGTTTTCCTCTTTATTTTTTCATCATAGTTGTTCAGCCCCAAGAAAAGAAGGTGGATGTGAATGTTTTCCAGAACAGATTACTGAAAATGTTCCAGTAAGTTCATCCTCACAGCACTCTCCTAGCTGTCAATGATATTTATTTTGAACTAAATTCTATTTCTGCCCCAATCTGCAGAGACATGTTTGGAGAAGAGTGTGTCGACTTTAAAGACAAGAACTGTCTCGCTGTAAGTGTAGATGGGAAAACTGCCTTCATCAACCTGGAAAACCGAGTAAGTATTATACTGCGTGAAGCATACACACAGAAGTTTTATAGGAAGAGAAGTCTTCTAATTCTTGTGTGTTTTTATGTTTGTGTTCAGACCGTGGAGTATGAGGACGACAATTCTGAAGATGATTCTCTCAGAGAAATGGTGGAGCTCGCTGTACAGAGGCTGTATGAAGCCATGAACCCTGTCATGTGAGATGGGCTCCTAATTTCCTTCCAGAACTTTTGTTATCAGAGTCCATCTAACTTGAACTACTTCAACCAGACTGAAGACACCAGATACTGGACTGGCCAAAGCACTTCGAAGCATTGAATTTTACATTAAAAACAAATGTAAAACAGTTCAAGCTAGATGTTGATACATGTGTGCAGTCAGGACTCAGTTCTTTTTTATTTCTGCTACATACAATATGTAGTGATCATTTAAAATGTTGTTTTTGTCTCATTTTGTTAAAGGAGCTGTAATTTAAGATCTAATGTACTGATTTAATAAAAGAGGTCTTTGATTCAAGTTGAGCTTAAGTTTCAATGCAACTCGCATTAAAGCTGACACTTTATTTTAAAATAAAAGCTTGCAAAATATACCAAGTTACACAAATATTTAACGCACTGATACAAAACACTCTCAATATTCAATACTTTCTCTCTTGTCCCATTACAACATTGTGAGGAACCATGCAGTCGGAGTATTTATGGGCACATTTCTTAACATCAAAAAAGACTTCACAGGGTTTGACACCAGAGAATAAAAACAAAGTACATTTTCAGGGCTGGGTCACGTAATAAGATCTAGTACTTACTAGTATGCTTGGTATTCTACAAGATCAACACCAATACATTCCCAATTAAATTTCTGAATAAGATTCAGATGAAGGTGACTGTTCAGCCACCTATAAATGACACTCATATTCCCTTTTTGAGTTTTCCTATAGATTATATTACAAAACACGTGGAGAAAAATACGATTTCACAATACAAATAAAAAAAACAAATACAAGGCACTTTGGATACTGATCTCAGAGCAGTGTTCATCAGTACATTCTTATGGGAGCAGCTGCAAGATACACATTCTTGCATACAGTCATGAACATTGTGTTGCTGAAAAGTCTTAACAGCCTGATTGTCTTGACTTGGGAGTTTCATATTAAGCCAATGAGCCAAAAACTTCTCATTTACCAAACATGTATAACATCTGCTGGTATAACTGTTTAAGTATTAATGTATACTAATACATGTTGTTTCAAGAACAGTATAAATGAAAGCAAAAAATAATAATTCACAGACAATATCTAAAAATATCAAATGCCCCTACAATATCAGCTTGTCTCTTGCAAACAATAAAAAGCAAAAACACAAGATTGTGTTCCAGAGATTACAAAACAATTTGCTGGCGAGTGTCAAGAGCACATACACATAAAAAAAAATCAACTAAAATATAACAGGTATTTTTATGATATAACAGTTCTCAAGATCTGCTAGCATCTGCTCAATCTCTCAGACAAAAAAAAAGACCTGTAAACATCTTAGTATTGGGCAGTTAAACTTTAACAATGATGCTGGTCATGTTTAGATAACGCTGATGAGTGTGTGTGTGTGTGTGTGTGTGTGTGTGTGTGTGTGTGTGTGTGATTATGTGTGCAGTATACTGATAATCCTAACAGGACTGACAACATTAAGTTCCTATTTAATGCATAGTCACTGAATGATTTGTGCCTTCTGTTTCTTTATAAAAGTCCAGCGCTCTTAAAGGGATAGTTCACCCAAAAACAAAAACTCTGTCCTCATTTACTCACCCTCATGTCATTCCAAAACTTATGACATCTTTTTTCAGCACCTTAAAAGTAGCATGAAAAGTGATTAACCCAACATGTGCTGCATTGTGGAGGAACAGACCAGTAATTAAAGTGGTGATGTAAGGGAAATAGCAACAAACTTTTATTTTGTACTGAGTGAAAAAGATGACTGAAAAGAAAAAAAGTAGGATGGGGACTTGATTCTATCCATCGGTTGTTGAATGGATAGAGGCAGATCTGAATGCAAGCTTGCAATCGATTATAAGAAAGCAGCAGGGTTTAAGCGGACTACATGGTCGCATACGTCAATGATCCAGCACACGTAACAAGAGAGGTGTTTCAAAAGCAAATTATATGGTGGTAAAAAAAAGGAATAATGATACCAATAACATGCTTTTAGAAAATAGATTTCATACCTATTTTAACAGCTGAAAAAAATTGAGTCTGTTCCTCACACAATCCTATCATAATTTTTCAAAATACTTGGAATACTGTGCATAAGTCTTACGAATCACTTCTGAGATACTTTAATGGTGCTTTTGCATCCTTATTTATAGTGAATTTCTTGGTATAAAGGCCAGCGAGATATTCAGAACAGAAGATAGAAAGTCATACAACTTTGAAACAACATGAGGGTGAATAAATCCTAAAATTTTAAAGTAAACTATCCCTTTAAAACATACTGCATTCTGGTTATTTTCAATACTGGAGCTGTAAGCACGCATTGTAGTTCCATGCTTATGTAATGTTCATTCTGCTCAGCTTTGAGCATTTCCAATCATATTCCCTTTTATTTCATTCATATTCACATTTCTTTTTCCCATTAACTTACTTTTTTTCCCCATTTTATACAATTACACTCTTAGCATTCAGTCTCCTTGCTGTTACTCCGTGCATGTCTATTTACCCTGAAGCACATGGCGTTCTCTCTGTTCTCCGTCAGATCATCAAAGGAACGTGACACCGAGCCAGAGGTAGGGAAGTCTTCTCCCAGGGCTTGTTCATCCAGGTGGGAATCATAGCTGGGATCTTCTTGGATGGTGGCCATGTGTTGGGGCTCTATTGTAGGGAGAGGACACGGGGTTGGGGTTGGAGCTGGAGCCACCTGAGAGATGGAGACAGGTGGTGTGCTGGTCTGCAGAGGTCCAGACGCCTGGAAGCGTGGCACTGCAGAGGAGCCTGAGGATGTGGGTGGTTTGAAGATCCGCACTGAGGCTGATTCTAGACTGCTCAGCAGCTCTGCATTCTGGGACAGCACAGTCAATTGTTACACTTCATAATATGTTAAAGAAAATAAGCTTTCTGATTAGTACTCACACTGGGGTAGAAGAGTGACTTTGTGTTCAATTCATACTGCTGGTCAAGTTTCTTATCCTAAAAACAAAGAGAGACAGTAATCTTGTAAAACACAAAACAAACTATTCTTTGGATGGGGCCTGTAATTATTGCAACTTAAAACTTATTTTGCATTTAAAGGCATAGTTCACCGAAAATTGTGTCATTAATTACTCTCCCTCATGTCGTTGCAAACCCATAAGACCTTCGTTCATCTTCGGAACACAAAGTAAGATTTTTGATGAAATCTGAGAGCTTTAGTCTAGCTGCGTTGCTGTCTATGCAGGGTCAGAAAGCTTTTGGATTTCATCAAAAATATCTTTATTTGTGTTCCAAAGATGAACGAAGGTCTTATGGGTTTGGAACGACATGAGGATGAGTAATTAATGACAGATTTTTCATTTTTGGGTGAACTATCCTTTTAATATCCCTTAATATAAGTGAATGAAATTGTCTGTGCTTTTTTGCTTTAAAATAAAAAAAAAAGAATGTAAAATGTACACATTTGAAATCAGCCAAATTTTGCACTGAAGCAAGTGAAATTTGTATCATCAGATTGGTTGCAAATAACCTGAATTAGGACCTTTAAGAGTGTTATTTCTTTTTGATTTAAGTGTGATTTACTTAATTTTTTCATTTTGCTCTTGGTTTAAACAGACATCTTGCCTGTGATTTATTTCACCTTTTTGTTAGGCTCTTGGTGCAAAAAAAGATATTTAATATATGAATTATTTATTTTCTTGTTTTGTCTTGGTGTAAACAGACATTTTGTTTGTGATTCATTTAACACTTGTTTTGCTCTTGGTGTGAAAAGAAGTTTCATTTGATTTATTCAATTTTTCATTTGCTCTTGGTGTGAATAGACATTTCATCCGTGATTTATTCCATTTTTTTGTTTTAGTCTTGGTGGAAGCAGACTATTCTTCTGAATGATTTCAAATTTTAATTTACGCTCTTGGTGTAAATAGATCTTTTGTCTGCAATTTATTTCACTTCTTTGTTTCAGTATCGGCATAAATAGTCCTTTACACTATAATACCACTCAAGGTCAGTCTATTAAAGTATCATACATTTCCTCAGAGCTAAGTAGCTATAAGATGTTAGTGGAAATGACTCACCACACAATGGACCAGAATGCTGAGAGGGATCCAGAAAATTAGTGAGAAGACCACCACTGAGCCAACAATGTTATCAGCCAGGAACTTCCCTGAGAACACACACACAGGTTACATTCCTCAATTGGATTTCAAGTGAGATAAACTTACTGTGTTCACAGATAACTTACCAAAAGTATTGATGTCCAACTTCTCAATGAAATCCCACAACCTCTCAATAACATCCTGGACCTGTTTCATGCATTTGCCCTGGGAATAAAAGGAAATGTTTAAATAACTGAATGCAAACCATTTCTAATTAATCGGTGAATAAAAACAGCTTTTACATACGTTTTTTCATAACTGTAACTGTACATTGGCACTCACCGCTCCATCACAAAAGCCCACAGTGCAGGGTTTGCCTTTCCGCAGATAGAGGTGGCTGCCCTTGTCATTGACATAGGGAGCACATCCAGCGTTCTTATCCCTACAGCACACCTTACAAGAGTTATTTGTCTCTGAAAAATGAGATACAGGAAAAGTAAAAAAGTTCATGTTTGTTCAAGACAGACTTTAAAAACTGTAACTGCCATGTAGCAACAGTATTAGCATTATCAGCAGGTCAGTTTACCATTGCAAGCGCACGACTGCAGGTTCTCCACAGCTTCACAGAACGGGATGCACTCTCCCTTCAGACACCGGCCGTTGTCCACACAGATGGTCTCATTGGGGAGGTTCTCTGGAGGAGGGCACTCACTGCTGAGTCCTGTAAGAAGCACAGAAGAATAGACTTTCAAACAAATGCAGTTAAATCTCATCGGTAAGGAATTTTGCCCGTTTTTAGCAGATGTTTTTGCATTGCAACACTGTTTTCATTACATGTATGAACATTTACTTCCCAAATTCTCATTACCATAATGCACCTGGATACTCTACATTCAAAATCTTTTATATTTTCCATTTACCATAGTGATTCTCATTAGTGTAGTGATTCTCATATTGTCATAAAATATCAATAAATGAGTACAACAATTACTACCATGATATAAACATATTTCATAATTTAAATATAATACAGCATTATTTCTTTGCATTTCATTAATGAGAATATGACTTTTTTTTTTAATCCTTTTAAATATGGTACCATAAAAACCAAATGTGATTTTAAAAAAGTCTTTAAAAATATTGTAATAATCTCACAATGTAAAATATCTTAATAGTACCAAATAAATAAATAAATAAAAGATTATAATCTTATCTTTTGATACAGGGTTTAAATATGACCTAGACATATTACTGACAGGTTTCATGAAATGTTAACTAAATCTATGATAAACTGCTATTCGGTAATAGAAATGAAGCTAAAATTAAATCAAATACAAATATTAGATGAAACTTGAACAAAACATAAGAATGTTGCATAGAAATGTGTGTAGGTGTATGTGTGTGTGTGTGTGTGTGTGTGTGTGTGTGTATGTGTGTGTTCTTGAAAATAATAAAAAGTTATTGTACAAAAAAAATGTTGTCTTGGCTGAAATAAATTTAAGTTATTTAAGTACTGAAATTATTAAAAGTAGAACTGAAATAAAATAAATAACGGCATATAAGAATATTAAAAACAAAAATGACAAAAACTAAATTACCAATGCAAACTAAAATGACATTGAAACTACTAGCATAGTAAATAAATAATACTAAAACTGTTCTCGATCTGAATTCTTAAACATGTAAATCAGATATACTGTATAAAGAAGTACATTCAATTATCTAAACTTGGAGTTTTTGCTTCACCTGTACAGTAAGATCTTCCCTTGCAAGTGGCATCCATTGGCTCCTGACACACCTTTCCCTGCTTCTCAAACATGCAGTATTTGCAGCACGCACTGTTCCTGTCACTGGTGTCAAGAAAAAAAAATACAGAAGTTACAGGAAGAAAAATGACATGAAGCCTAGAAGATTCAAATGAATAATTCACCATTTAGGGAAGATTTGAAAATGAACAATGTAAGGGTGAGTAAATAATCACAGAATGATATTTTTTGGGTTAACTGTTCCTTTAATTCAGCATATCTGTGCATTGTTTTTCATGAGGCCACATGGAGGAGCTGTACCTGCACTGCACATTGAGCCGCAGTTTGCAGTTTGACGTGCAGCAGCGGTCGCTGTTGAGGTGAAGCAGTCCAGGGTCACACTCCTCGCCTTCCTCCACCCGTGAGTTTCCACACACATTGCTGTTCCTCTCCCTGAAGCAGGTGGAGGCCTTGGCCCTCAGTCGCTTTGCTATGGCGATCTTACTGCAGTTTGAAAACAACTATAAGGAAGCACAAAAACAAACCGCTTACAAAATGATCATGTGACATTCTGAACAATGACACCAAGCTGAACTCACATCACCGAAGGACATACTTTATTGTTAGAGTGGTCCCCGCTCACCGCAATGGGGTACATTACGTATTTGCCCCCCTGGTCCTCTCTGGGCGCACAGTATGACACATCATCTGGGTC